TTTGTGGAATAAATTTCCCGTAGCTGTTTAAAAAAAAAGACCCTGAGCAGAAATATAGTGACTCAATCTTCTGGAGTAATTGGAAAAGCCAGAGAAGCAAAAACCATTATTGATGCTTGGCAATTGTTTTTTCCAGACTCCGTCATCAGCGAAATAGTTGAACACACAAACAAATATATTTTAAAGCTTCGGACAAAGTACAGTAGAGAAAGAGATGCTACCAGTACAAATATGGAAGAAATTAAAGCACTTATTGGTCTTCTATATTTTGCTGGAGTCTTGCGGTCATCACACCTACATTTGAGAGATCTGTGGGCACAAGACGGAACCGGCGTAGAGATTTTTCGTCTTACAATGGGAATTAATCGATTTCAATTTTTGTTGCGAGTGCTTCGCTTTGACGATCTTGATGATAGAGAAGAACGGAAACAGTACGATAAGCTATCTCCTATAAGAGAATTTTTTGATGGATTTGTTGAGCGATGCAAAGCCAATTATACTCTTAGTGAATTTGTAACAATTGATGAAATGCTTGAGTCATTTCGCGGCAAATGTGGATTTGGACAATATATACGGAATAAACCAGCAAAGTATGGAATCAAAATATTAGCGCTTGTTGATTCCATGTCATATTACACTTATAATCTAGAGGTGTATGTTGGGATTCAACCAGATGGGCCCTATAAAGTTGACAATAGCGCCTCTTCAGTCGTACAAAGATTAATTAAACCAATTTCTGGAACTGGAAGAAATGTAACTTTCGATAATTGGTTTACGTCGATACCTTTAGCCTTAGATTTACTAAAAAAACACAAACTAACTGTTACGGGCACAATTCGCAAAAATAAAAAAGAAATTCCTGAAATTTTTACTGCAAAGTTAAAGGAGCGTAAAGTTACTTCGAGCATTTTTGGTTTCACCCAAGACATGACTTTGGTATCCTACAAGCCCAAGCAAAACAAAATAGTTACATTATTGTCAACAATGCATTACAAAGACGAGATTGATCCAGAAAGTGGCGATGCATACAAGCCATCAACGATTACATTTTACAATGCAACAAAGGGAGGTGTTGATACCGTTGATGAGCTAAAAGGAACTTACTCTGTGTCACGAAAAAGTTGCCGATGGCCTCTAACATTATTTTTTACTTCCTTGAATATATCTGGAATAAATAGCCATATCGTTGCTGACAAAAATAACAATACTCATAGAACTCGCCGAAACTTTTTGAAATCCTTAGCAATGAGTCTCATTACACCGCAACTTGAACGTCGTCGAGAAATGGTTATGTTACCAGTAACTATGAGAAGTCGTATAAAAGAAATGTTGGGCATCCAGGAGGTATCTACGCCACACAGCCAGTATGACGTTCCAGGCAGATGTCATTTTTGCTCATCGAAAAAAAACAGAAAAACGAAGACCCTATGCGTACAGTGTCAAAAGTATATATGCCGATAACATACTTCCCAGGTTTGTACTGAATGCTATAAAAGCCAACAATAAATGAAAAATTGTAACATAAGTTTAAAATAAAAGATTTTTGGTATATATTTAGATTCTACTTGTTTTTTTTTATTAATTAAAACCAAAACTATGTCTACGGTCGATTTGACCGTGCGCGTGTTACAACGTAAGTTTTTTGGCGCGTGTAATGCCGGGTTAAACATATATATATATATATTATATATATATATATATATATAATATATTATATATATATTATATATATATATATATATATATATATATATATATCTGGGCGTCCGCAGTACCAAAACTAGGGGGCGCAGATTTGAGAAATAAAAAAAATGGTTAGATAAGATAATTGGTATTGGTTATAATACATATAGATGTAAATTGAGAGTCTTCACTGAGAGGGGAGAGAGGAAAGGTGTTTCCCTCAGAAAAGCCGAAAAAAAATAACGTTTTTGGAGCCAAAATTATAACTCAACGCCTTCATACAAAAATGAAGCAAACTAAATATAATTTAAATATTTAAAAACTTTTTAATGCTTTTTACAAAAACGTGATGCAAATTTAACAAGTTTATTTCCTCCTGGATAAGCCTTCGATTTGTGAAGCAATATAAATTGTCTGTTCCTAAACACTGTTATTTAAACAACAATTTACGCGGATCAATTGTAAAGTCTTGTAAAACTTTCTCTACAAACTCTTCCTTTTTTGGTAATATTTGTTTCCGATGATTGCTTATTAGAGCTAACCCATTAAGGCGGTCTTCGACCATTGTACTCCGCAACCATGTTTTTATTCTTCGAAGACTGCTGAACGATCTCTCAACTGTACACGTAGTGCAACTCAATGTTACGAGAATTTCCAGCATTTTTTTGTTAACGGATAAAAAGTAGTGGACGCTCGAACTAGTTCAAAAATTTCAAGGGCGTTGAAGTTACCTAACTCATTATTAAGGAGTTTTTTATTCCAGTGTTCTACCCATACTTCTAGCTCTGCATCTATTCCATCTATTTCATAGTGGATAGAATCCAGATACGGAAGAATCATGGATCGCCTCCAGTATTCAGTAGGCGTATCAGCTGGTTGATTGCTTCTATGCTGTTGCTTGCTTACAGTTCTAGGGGTAGATAATTAAAAACCGCATTCTTCGGCTATCTTATTGGCTTCATGCAATCAAGTGTTCATTACGTTCTCTGCGTTCTGTCTAGGTTTTTTAAAAATATCCATGATTTGACGAATATGTTCCGCTACCTTTAAAACATTAGTTTGCGCAGATTGTAGGCGGTTGACTATAGGCTTTAGGTATTCAAAATATTTTGCAATCAAAATGACAGCGACAATAAATCCTGACTTGCATGCCGCAGAATGCAACTGATAAGATGTTTTTCTAGTGGCCAAATTTCCTTCAACGGATAGAGTTTGCAAGGGCTGTACAATTTCAATGAAATTTTTTCGAAAAACCCTAATTACCTTGTATTTCTCGGACCACCGTGTTTCGCAGAGGCTAGGGATATTTGCTATCATATTCCTTCTTAATACTGATTCACGGAAGAAATTGGTTATGTCTTTAATAGTGGCAATAGTATTTCGCACTTCATTTTAACGGTTCAAATCGTTCACAACTAAATTTAATCTGTATGACGCACAGTGGAAAAAAAAAGATTTGCTGTATTTTTTGCTTAAAATTGCTTGAACTCCGCCTTCCTTTCCCGACATAGTGGAGCAACCATCAAACCCCAGGCCGACACATTTGAGTGGATCAACTTCATGATTTGTCAGGAAATCATCAATTGCCTTTGCAATGCTTGGTGCATTCAGAGCATCGAGCTGAACAAACCCTGTAAATTCTTCACGAATTTCTTCTGCTTCTTCATCAAAATATCTTAAACCAATTGACAACTGTTCTTTGCCTGAAATGTCAGCGGTTTCGTCAGCTAATATTGCGTAGTAGTTAGCTTTTTTGACTTTTTCAAAAATTTCTCTTCTAATTACTTGGCGGCAGATGTTACTTACTTCATTTTATATCCTCACTGACTTGTATGACGCATTCTTAGCGCCATGTTCAAAATGCTCCTGCAAAATTTTGTCTCCGGCATCAATTCGAAAATTACACAAGTCTTGGAAAACACCCTCACTCGATTCTTTCCCACGGAGAGGTAAATCATGAGTGCCTGAGAAGACGATACATGAGATAACTGAACAAAGGACTTTTCTGTTAGTTTCTATTATTTTGCTCGCAAACTCGTTGTCTGAATGTCGACATCTTTGTATTTATTAAAAGCCCTTATCATAAATGACCCCAATGTCCCTTTGATTGTCCCTTTCGATGGGGGAAAGACGACACAGAATTTACAAAAGGCTCCTTTCAAGCGCTTTGAATATACTAGCCACGGGCTATATAAGTCCAACCATTTATGGTTAAATTTTCTTTTTAAATGTGCAGCATCTCTCACAAAATCATAATCTGTAGGTGGCACCCAAGTTTCTTTCAGCAATTTCATTTTTTCTTGAACTGACAGCGTAGATACACGTATCTGCCAATATCATAAATGTGGTCATCAGTATGTAAGGACGATAACTCGGTATCTGATACTTCTTTGTCTTTCGTATTTACTAAGAGCGGCCCTGTTGGAACATCTGAACTAGTTGACGGAACATCCAGTTTGCTTATTTTATAAACGCATTCATCTCTGCAATTAAGCGCCACACAGTGGGGCAGGAGAGCTGAAAAGTTGGCATAAAATGAAAATACGGAATGCAGTATTTTCTATCGCCTTTATTTTAATTTAATAGTACACAATCCTGCGTATGATTTGGCATCATTTTTTCCAATTCAATCCCACCCCCACCCTTGCGACGGGTCGCAAAAGGCACATAGTCCCGTGTTAACAATGCATAGGCCGCAATAACGTGATTCGACTTACGTTTGATCCACTTAGTTCAAGTCAAAAGTTAATTTAATAGTAAAATTGGCTACGGATATTTGATCTTCAGTAAAGTGACAATATTATTACAAATGTGATGTAATAATTAAGTAAATATAGTTTCTTATAATACGTGGTTTAAAATTACCTGTACGAAATATCCAAATATGCATTTTTTAAAAAAAGCAAGTGATTTGTTAGTGTTCCAAGACTGATCAAACTTTAATTTTGTTTTATTTTGAAAGCTTGAGTATTATTCTTTTAAAGGTCATTTTAACTTTTTGCACATATTTGCACCTTTTTTCATAATGTTATTTTTTGTGAGGTTATGTTAATCTAATTAAATTGAACATCACCGTGAAACTGACTTTTAATGTTTCGTTATTTGTGTTATGTATTTATATATCTACAGGCACTCTCATCTCTAGCCGTCTGCCAACTTCCATCTCTACCCGTCTGTCAGTTTCAATGACAGTACTTATGTAGTCATGTGGTGTACCTGGGTGTACCTACTCAATAATAAACTATAATTACAAGTGTAATTGATAACGCCTCTTTGGATCCATTACAAATTGTTTTAGTGGATTTAATGCTTGTATAATGTTTGTGACAAGAAAAGAACTTGTTAGCATCATGAGAAGATGTAGCAGCAAAAGAATAGAAAAACAGTTTGAATTTTTAGAAGCCGAGATCGCACAGCTAACGAAATGTCATGAGGTAAAAAAATCACTATCGCATTTTAAGACACAATATAAGTCGCGTTGGTTAAAAGCGTGCAGAATGGATGACAGATTTCAAAGAAATAATAAAGAGTGGCTGAATAAACCTCTTTCATTTTCCCAAAAGAACGAAAACAGACGTGGTCGCCCAGAAGTGAGTTTTGAGTGTAGTTCTGAACGTACAAAACGACTAAAAACCAAAGAACTACGCGATTCTACATCAGCTTCGGTTTTAAGCTATGCTACACAGATGAGTTTCAGAGCAGAAGGCCATATAGATGCTTCTAGAATACTTAAAGATATTACGTCAACTACTCCAACCCGAACCGCTAGATACAAAAAAGCATACAAAATTTCATTAGACTCCAAGCCAAATATCATGTCAGGAGAAGACGCTCTTACTGTTTTAATTAGCGGAAAATTGTCTCGACACCAATATGGCGTGGTTAGAGCTAGTGCCCCGGATAGATTTCCTTCTTACAAGGTCGTTCAGTCTGCCAAAAGAATGTGCTATCCTGATAATATCACATCTACAGAAACATCAGTAAGCGTTCCTTTACAGAACTTACTCGATCATACCGTTCAGAGGTTAGTTTAAAGTATTCAACAGGTAGTGGAGATACACGTTAAAGACTCTGAATTAGATAAATTATGTCTTTACTTAAAATGGGGGTTCGATGGTTCCTCTGGGCACAGTTCCTACAAACAAGCCTTTCATGGACCAGAAGCTAGTGACTCCGCTGTGTTCATCACATGCATAGTTCCTGTGCGACTTATGTGTAACGCAAAGGTGATTTGGCAAAACCCTAGCCCAGCCTCAACTGTTTACTGTAGACCATTAAAAACTGAATTCGTTAAAGAGTCTGCGCAAGTTTCCATTGCAGAAAAAAAAAGAGTCGATGCTGAAATAGATGAATTGCAAAACTCTACTACTACAGTTAACAACAGGAATGTCCATATACGTCACAAACTTATTTTCGCTATGGTAGACGGAAAAGTCTGCAATGCACTCACGGAGACAACTTCAACTCAGAATTGCTTTTTATGTGGTGCAACATCGAAGAAGTTTAACAACGTTGAAGAAATGATCGGCAGAAGTGTCAAAACGGAAAACTTAAGTTTCGGTTTGTAAAAGTAAAATGATAAAATTGTAGTGGCTGAAAATAAGGCAAGAATTCAAAAAGAATTTAGAGAAAAATGTGGCCTAGTTGTTGATACACCTAAACCGGGATTCGGCAGCACCAACGACGGAAACACCGCCAGAAGATTTTTTAGAAATGCAAAGTTGTCCGGAGAAATAACAAATGTTGACTTAGAACTTATTAAAAAAATCCATATTGTCATGGTAGTTGTTGCTAGTGGACATGAAATCGATGTCAACAAATTTCGACTCTATCTTCATGACACTGCCAGATACTTTGTATCATTGTATCCATGGTATAACATGCCACCAACCATGCACAAGTATCTCATACACGGCCCTGAGTTGATAGCCTCTGCATTGCTACCTATAGGGCAACTAAGCGAGGAGGCACAAGAGGCACGGAATAAAGATTTCAAAAAATACAGAGAAAACAATTCAAGGAAGTGTAGCAGATCAAAAACAAATGAAGATGTATTCCACTTTTTGCTAATTAGTAGTGATCCACTGATCACATGCAAAAGAAATATTAAAAGAAAAAAATTAGAGCACCTGCCAGTGGAAGCACTACATATGTTGAAAGCTCCGAATGTGCAAGATGTTGAAGATGATAGCAGCAGTGCAAGTGAAAATGTCACATCTGACGATTCTGATGATGATCTATAATTTCTTCTTCTTTTTCTTATACTATATTTCCATCTCTTTGGTGGTCTCTCCGGTGGACGCTTGCCAGCTGGTTTTCTTTCTAGCGCAATTCTTGTTAGTCTGTGCTCCTCCGTGCTTTTTACGTGACTGAACCATTCTCTTCGTATTTGCATATCCCATCTTACTACATCTCGCACGCCACATTGTTCCCTGATGATGTTGTTTCGTATTCTATCCCTTCTTGTCTTCCCTGCTATTGCTCTTAGTGCCTTCATTTCGGCTGTTCGTAGCATGCTTTTGGTTTTACTGGTGTCTTATCTTGATTCAATGCCATAGTTGATAACAGGTCTGATGCAAGTTTTATAAATTATAACTTTGCTATCCATTCTCATACATATATGGATTATTCCAAACCACATCTCTCAAACATCCGGACATGACTTCGGCCTTGTTTATTTGTCTTCTTAGGTCTCTGGCTGGGTCATGATAACTTGATAGTCTAAACCTAGATATTTAAACTGGTTTAGCTGTTCTATGGGTTTCCCCTCTACCACGAGCTTTCATCTACTTGGGTATTTCACAGTGCTAATGCATTTTGTTTTCTGCGTGAATATGTTCATATTGAGTCGTCGACATGCTTCATAGAATCAATAAAGTTTCCTTTTTAGGTCATCCTCTTCCTCTGCAATCAGGGCTGCACCATCCACATAGCACACTATACCGATTCTACTGTGACCGAATCTGTATCCTAGTTGTAGAGATTCCACATATTCTATTATTTCATCCATTAGCATATTGAATAGAAATAAGCTGAGGTTGTCTCCCTGACTGATTCTCCCTGGTGTTGATATGCTGGCCGTATCTATAGTTTAAGTTTTTTAATATATTACATACAAAATGCTATGTTGTTTCTATATAAATATGTGCGGTAAATGCTTTTAAAGAACAATTTAGTTGGGTAATTTTTCTAAAACAATGCTAAAACAGTTGATTTGAGATATGAATCTTAACAAATATACATAAAAACAAGTATGTACATTAGAGTATAGAATTAATTAGAATGAAAATTGTTAAACTTCAGACATCATTTAAATCAATATCAGTAATAACCAGGTACATGCAGCTTTGAAAGTTAAGTTTGAGCAAAACATTTGAATAAGCCATACTTCAATGAAAAATATTTGGAAATCGAGGTCCAAAAAGAAGAAGAACATCCTGGTTAAATAACCTGAAAACCTGCGTCAACACAACATCTGTGCCGCCTTTCCGCGCTGCTGTAGATAAAATAAAGATTGACATGATGACCGACAACACTCATCACTGATAGGCACAGAAAGAAGAAGAAGAAAACATTTGAAAAAAGATCGTTTTTGTATATGTATACACCACTAACAACATTTTTTTTAATTTGGCTATAATATATTGACAATGATTTAATGCCAACTTATGTTGTCTCTTGCCCCACTGTGCGCCGGGGGGCTTGGATTGTTTTTTCTTTTGAAATTTGAAATAATAAGGAAGAAAATCGAAACAGAATTTTTATGATTGAATATGTTGATAAGTGTGGTATAGGTACACTTCCCGTCATATAAAACTGGTACACTTTTTTTTCCCAATGTAAATCTGGGTTTCTCACTGGACACAATAGTTGTCAAAATCACTTGACTGACAAATCGACTGACAAAATTACTTCGTTGTTGTCATCTCAGATAACAGAATTGCACTAAATCTAAATACAAAAAAAATAACGTTTAAAAATCAAATTACGTTTTTAGATAAGTGTTATTTTTATCATTAACAATTGACTATCATTGAAGAAACCTGGAAAAGCTTGGCTGAAGATGAAAATATATCACTAAATTTAATTAACTTAGTGCCCAGAAGATTACAAGAAGTGATTAATAATAATGGATCTATGACAAAATATTAATATTTCAGCAGTTTCGAAATTGTAATACACTTTTAGATTCCACACTTGTTTACTGTAAAAGTTATTTATTTTGTATTAATTTCAAATCAAATTTTTAATCTTTCCCTCATGTTTTATTTATTTTAGTAGCCCACAACTCAATACAGTTTTTTGCTACAGTTACGAGAAACCAATCACACCTCTTGATTTCAAAATTAAACATAATAATTTAAAGTCATGTCTAGATTTATTATCTATCTTTATTTTTTAATCGAAATATTTTCATAAATTATAATAAAACACGAAAATTATTAATGTATGAGTACTTAATTGATATGACGAACCTTAATATAACAATATCAAAAACAAAACAAACATCTTTTTTTATATTTAAGTACCATCGAACATATTCCATAATAAAAATTCCTTTTAAAAATGATAATAGTCAAGACTATACCTAACTAAATTTACTAGTTATAGCTTACCAAGTGGAAAAAATTTCCCAATATCTATCGTAAAACAAATACACCAAAGACACAAAACACTCGTACAAATATCAAAATTCGGGAGATCAGTCTTGCAACTTATTACTTCTGCATCTAGACTACAACAATAAACAATAGGGTTTGTGACGTAGTATTTCGCGCAGACAGGCAAACCAAACCGTTTCTAACAGTGGCGGGCGGAAACAGGTAGATTTAAAATAGATTTTTATAAATAAATTATATTCAATTAAAGTGAAGAATGAATTTGTCAATTTTTATTTTCATAGTTTTTAATAATTTATGAGGTTTATAGTCAGTTATATAAATAAGAATTATGTTGTATAGAATTTGTTAAGTTTATGTGTTTTTTTCGTCCCAGGTAGAATGTGCAAACAGAGTGGTTGAATTCAAAATCAAGATTAAGTTACAACTTTGTATTTTTCTATATTGCTTATTCACCAATTTTACACTCGCCTCGTCCTCTCTAGGGGGGGGGCAGCTACCCCCCTGCCCCTCCCTGTGGACGCCCATATATATATATATATATATATATATATATATATATATATATATATATATATATATATATTTATTTATTTATTTATTTATAGGCTTAGTTAATACATGAGCTCAATTTTATAAAATTATAAATTTTCAGACAATATCAGAAATGAAAACCAAAGCTAAGAGACGTGCTAGAGAGGTAAGGTATGGATGCCAGGGAACTGGAGGAGGAGGTGCTACCAAACCATTAACTCCTTTCGAAGAAAGGATATTGGGTCTACTCGTTTCGGAACTGTCAGTAGAAGGAGCCCAATTATCAGAAGCTGGCGTGGAAATGATTGTTACCGAAGTAAGTTCTTTGTCACTAAATTGATATACTATCAGAATGTGTTTTTGACTGACAATATTTTGTGATATATTAAATAAAACATTTTATTTAGATAATAAGGTATTATTACTAAATTGAAATTATATATGAATATATTTCATTTGCTTTTTTTCACTCTTTATAGGAAGAATTATTTGAACTGCCAGTGGAAATTGCCTCCACTTTAAAGTCAAAATACTCAAAATATAGATAGCCCACCTGCAATATCCACAAGAAGAAGACCTAGAAGAGTGGATAGAGGTAGGGCAGGAAGTAGGGTGACAACTGCTATGGGACTGCATGACCGCCAGTTGGCAAACCTTGCCAGGTCAAATTATGCCATTGCGTCAGCATTGAATATAGTAGCCAGGGCCATTTTATCATTTAGGAGGTGAAAATTACAAAAAAAATTATACAAATAAATGTTTTTCTTAAAAAATGTCTCTTTTTTTCTTTAACACCTTAAACTGTGTATAATAAGCACCAAATAAACAAGTAAATTTAGCTTCTATCACTAAACATCCTGGTGGAAAAAAAGGTCAGGTATTTATTTTTTGGTAAAACTTATTATTTTCCAATTGGTTGTAATTGTGATGAAATCACATTTTTAATGAATTAATATTTGATGTTTCAATTTTGACTTCAGAAATCATTTTCAAAAAAGGTTTTTTTACAAATTATGTAAATTATGTATAGTCCGTCTAGGAAGTATCCGGAAAAAAGAAAGCAGAGTTAAAATTTTACGGTATTTATTTCAATCATTTGAAATATAAAATTTCAACAAATAATTCATCCCATTTACTTATATAACCTCCATTTAAATATAAACACTTAACTAAACCTCCTGGTACACCCGAAACTAGGTCAAGGCCATAATTTTCGGTAATGGTATTACAGGCCTGTAAAACTGACCGAATCAAACCTTCTTTATCTCGTGGCGCTGCTCGTCCCACTTATCTTTCATCAGTACCCATATGTTTTCAATGGATCTGGAGAAGCTGCTGGCCACGGAATTGTTCCCACTTCGTGTTCTTGCATCCAAGCTTGAATATAACCAGAAGTATGATATCTTGCATGATCTTGCTGAAAACGCCACCCCTCTAGATAGAAATCATAAGCCGTTTCGAAAAGAAAAACATTTAGGATGTCACAATATTTCACACTATCAACAGTACCATAACTATACAGAAAGGTGTAGCACCACCCTGATACATTGTTCCCCAAACCATTATTTCAGTGGGAAATTTGGAAATTTGAACGGTAACATTTTCTCTTGATAGGACTTTTAAATGATTTGCACCAACCTGGAAACAACTTTCATCAGATATAAAGACTATAAGATTATTAAAATTATCTTCCCGAAAACGTTGACAAAAATCTATTCTTCGTTCGCTGCCTTTGCAGAGGTGTCATTGTGGTGATTTTTTTTTATTAAAGCCAATAAAGCATTTAATTCGCATTGTTTACGCGAATCTTACGTGGTTTACCTGAAACTGGTCTGTCTCATATCTATCCCATTTTTTATCCATTTTATTGTCTCATACACTGCACTTTTTCCGAGTTCAGTCAACTGCACTAATTTTTTAACGTTTCAGATACTCTTTCTATACAAATATTCCACCACTTTTCTTTTTTCTACTTTCGACATTATTTCACAAATCTTAAGTCTGTTTACAAACAACAATATTTGACAGATGGTGTTGTCATGCGATTTTGTCCATAACCTACTATCGGCACAACCTACTTGATGCATTACTTTTGTCTTAAAATGTTATAAAAAGGAAATCTATTAAAATTAGGAAAAATATAAAATTCCGGATACTTTCTAGACGGACTATATAATCCATATTTACATAATTTGTACAAAAAACCTGTTTTGAGAACAATTTCTGGAATTGAAATTAAAACTTCAAGTATTAGTAAATGAAAAATGTGATTTTTACCACAACCAATAATTGTGGCTTAAGCCAATAAAAACATATTCAACTTGACTATACCAAAAGTAGTTTCAGAATATTGCTAAAATATTTTTATTCATAAAATCATACATTATTAAGATATTGTTGAACAATTGCATCTCGGATTTGTTTTCCTCTTCTGTACCAATTCTGGTCAACTGGTACATTTTCAATTATATTGAGGTCATTTTCATCGTCCAGTTCTAAACCTTCTGGAACTTCATCTTTATAAAAATTTGATATATTGTGTAGTGCACCACAACTAAAAATAATTTTCCCTGCTTTAATAGGATTATAATTTAACACACGATGCTTTGATAAACATCGAAATATTGATTTCAGCACTTTATTCAGTTTTTCAACTGTATTCCTACTTCTTATAAAATGGTAATTATAATTACTTTCAGGTGTATTTTCTTGGGGATTATCAAACGGTGTCATTAAAAAAGGTTGCAAACGGTAACCAGAATCACCGATAAGGAAATAATTAGCACCTCCAATATACAAATTCTGCATTATTGTTTTAATATTTGAGGCTTGATAAATAGCCGAGTCATGAGTAGATCTAGGAAAACGTACGTTCATATTTAAAATATTGTAGTCACTATCCACAATAATTTGGCAATTTATACCGTAGTACCTTTTCTTCAATAGTATGGAAGGGCCGGGTAGTTTTCTGGAGGAGATATAATTGCAATATGAGTGCAATCTATAGCCCCTAAACATTGTGGAAAGTTATATTTATTTCTGAAACCATTACAAATAGTATTTCTGGGATGCTCATTAATTGGAAATTTTATCCAGTTTGGTGTTAAATTACTATAAATTATTTCTGTCACTTCATCAATGCAACGACTCATGCTTGGTTGACTTAAAGCAAAATTGTATCCTTGTCCTGAGGATAATTGGTAGCTCCCAGTACCACAAAAGTTTTAAAGTAGCTAAAATCTTCAGTTCTTTAGGAATTGCAGATATTCTTTGTCCTTCTTGCATATATGGACTAATCATATCAATGATAATCCTTGCAACATCTTTATTGAATCTAAACAGTTTTTTAAATGTTGAAGTGGGTAGCTGAAAAGGATTGCTCATATCTCGGATTATTTTTTGATTTAATCTGAATTCAGCTCTACAAAAAGAATAAAAAAATTGAATTTTGTTATAGGTGTAACACGTGAATTATAAAGTAAACTGAGACTTACCTTTCATTATTATTTATTATTTCATCAACTAAAGCTTCGCGAAATATATCCATAATAAGCCATTTGTCTTTTTTAATTGTTTATCTGCACTTTAATATCTGTGTCACTTGTAAAAAGTGTGTTATGTGCCAAAATCGCGTTTTCGGGAAAACGCAATTGAATGTTTCACAATTTTTCCAGACTCTATATATTGATAAAATGCCAATTTTAAAGTCTCAAAATTTTGGCAGTACATTTTTCTTTAATATTGACATGTTTTCGTTTTTTTTTTTTGTTATTAGTTATAACTTCTATTTTTACAAATTGTTTTAAATTGTCTGTACTTAGTGCGTTTTACACTAATTCCATTAGCGTACAATGTGTTAAGTGTTTAACAGTTCCTCAAAATGTTGGCAATTTTATGCTATATTTGCCCTTTTAGAGCCTAAAAATATTATGTAAACAACAAATTATACTTTTTGCATAAATGTCTTTATTGGAACAAAACACATAGGTAAACAATAATACGTCGTATGTAACATAATTTTTTATTGCAATATAAAAAACGTATAAGTACAATAAAAAGAAAAATGTAATACAATTAAGAACAACACAAATAAAATGAATACTAACTTAATACATAGTGTTAATAATAATATAAAATAATAATACATATAGTAAAAAATATTTAAAAAATATTGCTTTCGATCATAAAATCTCGAGTTCTTCATCTTGGGCATCAGGGTATACGTCTGACGCATTGCCAGCATTAAGGTTCTCATAAAATCCCCTGTATGTTGGGTCTATGTAAGGAAGTAAATCCAAGAGATCCTTTTTTTTTTCTTTGGTATCATTCGTGATTGCTGATATCTAAGAGGTGGCAAAATGTTTCCAATCTTTTCTTGTTTCTGGAAAGAAACAGTTTTAAACTCTTCATTGCCGAGCGTTAATTTATAAAAAATAATTCCAGATTTATCTTTGAGGTAAGTTAGCCATCTAACCTGACCTCAATGCGTCACGCCATTATCGTTATCTTTTTTTCTGTTAATTAAGGATGATTTTAGTAACACAGAAAAATTATAAAAGTGGATTCTTTCTAACTCTATAACATGAAATTTTTTTTTTTTTCAGTGTCACGCATTAATTGCGCCCAGTCATGAGGGTGTACAATTGGTTTATTGATTTTTTTTTTGTTTTTTCTCTATGAGAGCATGATAGCTATCGCACTCCATATGAGTATGGGCGGAAATAAGAAATTTGTGACATCTCTTGTAGGGTACTATAATTTTAAAGATTTACCCAGCACATAACCGCAATATGGCTACTCTTGTTTTGACCAGGGCATGAATCGGAGTACATTGCTACAGATGTTACCGTTGGCTCAAGAATATTGGTAAAATAGTGGTACAAACATGATCTAATTTCGTTTGCTCTACGCCCGGCAATGGCTTCGTGCCACACATAACAATAAGTTTGGTTTTTGTTGCAATCGAAAATTGTTAAATTAAAGGTCCATCGATTCTCGAAGCGAGATCAGCTTCTTTTGAAATTTTTCGGCAAGAGTTTCATGGCATGAATCTTCACTTTAAACAACCTAAAGTCGATGCCTGTGCGACTTGTGACAGACTAACCCTTGAAGTAAAGTTGGCTCAAGATGAGCACAAAACGGTGATACAGGAGAAACTGCACTTACATCAATCTAATGCTGACCATGCTTATGACCAAAAACGGAACGACAAAGAAATTTCGCAAACTGATGCATCAAAGAAAATATTAACATTTGACTTGCAACAATGCCTTGCAACTCCATTATTTTCGAGCCGGATCGAAGGACCACAATGTTTGCTCTCGCCCTTTTTGTTGGAGGACTGTAAAAAGCCAACGGGCGTTTGAGCACTTTTTGTGATATCCTATCTTTGTTGTCGATTGGATCGGCTATAGGAAATTCACATTATAATGACTATTTGAAGTTTATTTATTTGCGAAACTTGTATCAGCACCCAACAACGCTAAGCGAAACGTAAAAATTCGTAAAAATGTGACAATGTATATATTATTTTTTTGACTGATGTTGC